TGCAAAAACTTTATTACGATGGTTGCAAGAAAGCCTGCAAAGACAAATTTTCCCATTGGAGGGGTAGTAAGTAAATTAATATTTGTATTAAAATAATATAAATAATCATCTGACATTTTTAAGTAATATTTAAGCACCTTCTTTTTAGGATAAAATAAATGTTCGGTTAATAAACGGAAAAATTGAAATCAACTCATTTCAACAACGATTGGAATTTATTGAAGCAGTCATCCATTATATTTACTTTAAAAAGATTATTAATTTTATTAACGCGTTACATATAACAATGTGAATGTTTTTCAATATATATTTTGCCAACATATTTAATTATATAACTTATTAATATATTAATATTGAATTTATAAATATAAGTTCATTATGTAATAAATACTCGAGTAAACGTGCAATACATTATAAAGACGATTATCTGTTAATCATTAAGTAATAAATAACTTATTTTATATAATAAATATTATCTTATGTGTCAAAATTCATTTTATAAAATAACATTATGCTTCCTACAAATTTTCAATTGAATGAATAGTACTTTAAAACTATGTTTAATATTTACAGCATACATACATTAAAACTTGATGCTTGATAAAATAAGATAAGAATTATCTTATTGTATTATTTCAAGTCATGCGTAAAGTGGTTTTGATATTCATTAAGATTCCATGTATATAATTTAATATTACAGCTACTAAAAACCCATACAAGTAAATCATTTAATTTATGTACACTTTTATATATTTATTTATAAAATGTAATTCTATATATAAATTAAGTTGTATATTTAGTCGTAGTATGCATAATGATTATTGTATACGTCAAAATAAATATGTACAATATACATTTTTGTTAAAATCTTATAATTTAAAATACAGAGTAAACTTTGTTTTGCTTTGAAAACAGTACTATCCAACAAGAAATTTTAATAAGAAATATTGAATAGAATAATATTATACGAAGATTATAAAGTATATTTAGAAATTTTTTCTTGTTATATATATATTTTTTTATTTTATTTAAAATGGAAATTTTTTTTTTTTCATAGCTATCGAAATATATGAAAAATATGAATTTATTTTTTGTTTTAAACCTATGTAAATTTTAAGTAATGTCAACAAGAAAGCTGCATGTTATATTACTTATTTGTTTAATATACAATTCTTACATTTTTGTTTTGTTTTTGTTTTTTGTTTTTTGTTTTTTGTTTTTTGTTTTAATAATGTACTTTAGACATCGATAATACAATCTCTATTATTAAGAACTGACGATAATGCACCGTAGGTTTTCCTTAATATTAAAATTAAATAAAGAATTATCACAATAAAATATAACATGTATATTATTGAATAACTACTTTAGTAAATCAACATAATATATTTATACAATATTTATTACATTTACTTAAGTAGAACACAAATATTTATTATTATATAAGAATAAGCGATAGCGATGGTAATGAGAGGTATAACTGACTATAATTGTATTATCTTTAAGTATTTAATAATACAAATATCTCTTACAATTATATTAAGTTAATGAATAAATTTGTTTGAACGAATTAATATATCGTGATGAATAATTTATTATTTAATACATTTCTGAAATAATGTATTATTCATATTACGAAGTTTATTTTTGTAAAATATCAGCATTTGCACAATGACAACTCATTAGATATATTTTCTATTTATTTAAGAAATTAGTGAAAAGTGCAAGATTGAAAATGTTACATCTGTAATCAGTCTATGGCAATTATTTGAAGTTTATCTTTGAATATTTTTATTTATTTTAGACATCACAGAAATCTATTCTTTTGGAATATTTCTCATAAAATTTATTTATAGTTATGCAAACAAATTTGGTGTAAACATTATTTTTGATTATCAAAAACATTCAATGCTCATAAATGTAAAATTAATCTATTTATATAAAATAAGAATGTTTAATATTAATTGGCAATTTATTAAAACATTGTTTCCTTTTTTATAGAATATTATAATTAATATTTTATGAATTAAGAGTATATTAATCGGAAACCAAAATCGGCGATCGAGAGAAGAGAGTGAAGAGAAAAAGAGAGAACACGCGTGTATAAAGGTACGTGAGTTGAATCCCCATTGAAAATAGGAAAAAGTGTTCTCTTGGCAGTCGTCACGTTAAAAGTTATTGGAAAGCGTCAAGTCCTTAACTATTTGTCTAAGTAAGTGAATGCAAATAAGGAGCTATCGTTACTGCCATTCTTACTCCTGCACGTAGTGAGCGAATTATTATTTCTATTATGTCGAATTTATTATTTACTTAATTTTCTGTTATTTATATTCTAGTTATTTTTATGCCGAGATTTTAAGTAATTAATTCATAGAAGTGAAATAGAAATATGTAACATGAATTTATTACACAGGAACTACTTTTCAGTGTGACCCCAAAGTAATTATTATTCATAACTACACTTAATGTAAATATTTAATAGTACTTTCATGAAAAGATAAATTTAAATTTCATGGTTATAACGTAATTTTTATGTAATATTAATAAAGGTGTATATACTCTAACAAGAGTATATAATATCAATGTCTCTCTCTCTCGCTCTCCCTCTCTATCATTGTGTATATAATTAAGTATTAAGTATCAAGTATATAGCGATAAGGTATAAATAAGTCATGTATCAACAAATACTATTGTACAAATGCATTGCTTAAAAAAGTACAAATAATGCCGTACAGATTCTTGAAATAGCTAAGAAAAATTTCTTAAGGGATAACAATTTAATTGATTCAATTTATGCTCAATAAGATTATTTCTTTTTAGTGTAATCACTTCGCACCTCAGAGACGAATGGAATATATTACGCGGAATGCGAAATATCGAAAATTTATGATCCCATTGATAAAAATAGTATGCGTAACAATATATAAAAAATTCTTAATTTATTGTTAAAAATTTAACAACAATAAATGATCTAAAAATTTTATTGATGAAGCTTTTACTTTTGAAAAATTCATTAGTTTTAAATAATATTAAATTATAATACTGCCGAATATTTTATGATTACTATAAATGATTACTATAATGATTACTATAATAATATAATGATTGCAATAATTACTCGAATACATTTTCGTCTGTGTTTCTTAAATTTAGATCAAAAAAAAAATCAAAAAAAAAAAAAATCATAAGATGCAAATTTACCATACATATATTGAAATCACGTTTTGTTAAGTTGAAAAATTTCAAACAATTTTGTTGAAATTTATATAAAATTAAAGAACATTCCCAGTTTACGTTACTTTGTAATACAAACCGAAATATTTCTTATTAATTACACTGGAGTATAAAAGAAATTTACATTAATAATTCAAAAACAAATAATTCAAAAAAAGTTCTACGAATCCTTTAACAAATACTCATATTTTGCCATGGTATAACATAAATATTCATTTATTAAAAAGCTTTGTAGAGCATAGGAAATAATTATTTTGTAAAAAGAGACTCATGTGTAGCTTACGTAAAAATAATATTTTAATGATAATGAGGCACTTACAATAGAGAATACGATAAGAGAATTAATATTAATAATAATTATATTATTAATAAAAGTATTGTGTGTGTATATATATATATATATATATATAAATTATCGATATGTCAGTGAATATCGTACACAATCCAAAATAGAACATTGTTTTTGAAGACAAACTGGCCAATCATTCTAAAATCAAAATTCTCTTATATACTAAATTACTGAAAATTAAAACACATTTTAATTGAATAGTTCTTTATTTCTATGTCAGTATAACATTTATGATATTCAATACATGAAGCATCTCAAAATAAATAAAAGACATTGGGGCATCATTTAAATAAATAGATAAATTACCATAAATTATACAAATTTTTTTTTCTTCAAATATTAATTTAGATTATCGTTTTTGTCATAATATTCAGATAGTTTAAAATCTTAATAAATATTGTGAATGTCGTTTAATTTAATTATTAAAACAATCTAATATGCACAGCAAGTGTTATCGCTTTTTGATATAACATTGATACCATTTTAAATGATATTTTAGTTATGATAATAAAGTAATGTCTTATAATACGTGTTCAATTTTAGTAAGTCTTTGTAAAAAAAAAAAAGAATAGCTTTGCCATAACTTAAAAGTTAAATAATAATAATTGCAGCTACATGTAATTTCTTTTAATACTCGTCCGGCAATTATAACGTTCGTAAAGATTCTTAAAACAAAACAACTTTTGATACATTAAAGGACCATATGTCAATTAATTATTATTTTCGATTTCTTAATTCGTATGTTTTTGATAGCGTGCTGTTTGTTGTTGTTTCTTCAAATTCCGACGAATCGGATGTGCGAGAACTCGAAATTGTATCATTAGAATATTTGGAGGATTCGGTCCAGGAGCTGCTATAAAGACTCTCCTCCATCAGACATTTCCAGCATTGGCAGTGCGATGATGATGAATAGGATGATGATTCAGAAGATGTACACGAGCAATCGCATGAATATAATGATGAGTCTTCGCTAGAACTGAGAATTGGATTCACGTCACTGAAACGAGACCCTACGTGCACTGAAATAAAGAGGTAAATTTAATTAGAACAATATTGTTCGTCGTTGAAGAGTAATCCGCGAGTGTGTTTTTAAAAAATTATTCACTTTTCAAACTTAATTCTCGAAGACATCACAAAATTTCATTTAAACAATTGCAATATTATTTATCGACGCACCTGCTTCATTTATATTACGAAGCGTAATTTTGAAAGAGTTCGAATAAATTAATGAAAATAATTATTGTTTTCAATTGATAAATATCAATGGAGAAAAGACTATGGATATAAATATAAATTTCTAATGAAAATAAAATTATTATTAAAGGCAAAAATCTTAATTTTATAAAGAATTTAGGAAATACAATTAATTATATTAGTCTAATTATATTAGAAAACTTGTTCTTTCATTTATTAATTATTATTTATTTAAAAATCTATATTTACGTTCGCCTATTTTTCCTATATGAAGTTTTGAGAAATGTTTGCTCATTTCTCCCAAAGCTTTAGCAACTTTTTTGTCATTTTTAAATTTTTTTCTTGCCTCAGTTTCCTTTTCACATTTATTGATCTTCGATTGCTTAGCAGATGTTGGTTTCTCTTCCATCGATTTATCTCGAAAAGTTATGTGCATTAATTTATCTGGTTTCGTTACTTTTTTACGTGATCTTAATTTTTTCTTTTCTGAATTATTTTGGAAAGAAATATTGTTCTTTAGTATTGATGTAGAATAATTACTTATTTCATTGGTGTCGTTGATAGGCTCTAATTTGACAGGTACACTCGCTAATTTAATAGGTTATTTAAAAGAAAGAAATAAATATTATAATTATTTAGCAATTGGGAAAATCGCAGTAAAAAAATTATGGGTAAATTGTTAAATTTGGTTTAAAACAAATATTTTAAGTCTCACCTCTTGATGCAAGGTTTTTATTAATTTTTAATATCTTAGATTCGTTAGCTTGTATACTATCATTAATATTATCTTCAATCATAGTACTGTGACTATTAATATTCGCTAACAAATCATCCATTGAATTATTTGCATTTATGATAGTCTTTGAATCATTAGATGTATTTGATTTAATTTTGACAGTTTTTGATGCACTACGGGATGGTACTTTTCTTTCTGTACCATGTGACTTATTTATATAATTTGTTTACTTAACAAGATTTGTTTATTTAACAATATTTAAAAGAATGACTTACCCTTTGTTTGAATCTGGACTTGTTTCTTTACTGGATCTTTTATTTTTATTTTCTTGGCAACAACTGAAGCTCGTCGTTTTACGAATCTAGATGCATCTGATATTAACAATATTATGAATTAAACATTATATATTTGTGAATTAATAATATATCACTAAATTTTAATATACCTGATTGATTCTTTGTTATACTATCTCTAATTTTCCTTGTTTCACTATTGAAACGATCTGATTGATTATTCTTTTCTTTATCGACTTCATTATTTTTCTAAAAAAATATTTAAATCATATAATCAAGCATATATATATATATATATATATATATATATATATATATATATGTTAAATTATTTGAAATTGATTTATTGAAAATAGAAGATATTTATTAAAGGTATATATACTGCTAGATTTCTAATTTTTAAAGTTTTTGAATTGATATCTTTGGATTTTGAATTGTTCAATTTATTTGCACTTTTTTCATTTATAATTTTTGTTTTAATTTTCGTAGTTTTCTTATTATTTTTAATTTCACTTTTTTCTGCATCATCGTCAATTGTATTTTTTTTTTCTTGTGAAAGTTCAAAATAAAAAATATGTTATTGGTGATTTGTACATAATATAATATAGATATATATAATTAATATTAATAATATATGAATATTTACTTTGTGATTTGCTCTCATTATTTGATATAGCTAAATTCATATGTTGTTGATCTTGTTCGGAATTTGTATTATTTTTGGAACGATTTTTCTGAAATTACACACACACGCGCACAGATTTACACGCGCGCGCACGCACGCGCGCACACACACACACACACACACACACACACACATAATAAATAATCAATAAATATAGAATACATATTTCTAGCATTCAAAATAATGGATTCTTACGTCAGTTTTTTTTGATTTAGGTGTATTTTGTAATTTACTATCACTTTTTTCTGATTTGGATGTTTTTTTAATTTTATTCGTTGAATTCAGCGTGATATTTTTTTCTTTAATAGTTGCTCGTGTGCTAACTCTTTTTTTTTTTTCACTTTTTGTGTCATCTTGCGTGCTAGATATAGTTTTTGGAGTGCGTTTTGTTTTAATTGTATCTAAAAATTATTATAAATTATACTTTTTCAAAAATACATGTAAGATAATAATATAAATATATATTTATATGTATAAAGAGATAACTTAATACTGCAATATTCAAGAGGATTTTTTTCGCAATTAACGTTACATCAGATATTACAAGTGTTTTATTTATTTTGACATGTTACTATTTTTGAAATATTTCTAATATAAAATTATGTATATATTAATGCATAAAAAATATACAATATATAATTTCTCGATTACATTATAGCATAATTAATGAAAAATTAATACATCCAAATTTACCTTGTTTTATACTGTTTTGATCAACGACTTCTTTTTCTCTTTGTTTTGCTTCATTCATTACAGGTATTTCAGTTTTCGGAAAATCTTTTCTAGTTTTCTATAAATTTACAAAATAGCATAATAAGTAATAATGATTCAAACATGTGATAGTACTGAATAAAATTGTACTATTTATATATATATATATATATATACCTTAGTTACTTTTGGCTTTGTAGCTTTGGATGCTGATTCTTTTTTGACGACCACGCTTTTATTATTATTATCAGATAACAATTTGCTATCCGAGGAAATAGTTTGAATTTTAGGAGTTCTCAAAGTTCGCTTAATGTTATTATCCTTTACATTATCTTAATAAAAATATTATTCTAATGAAAATTAAATATTAAAAAATTGTATTGTATTTAATTATTAAATCACAGTATTAAATTTTAGTATAAAATAATTGTTTTAAATAATTGTAACATTTTAAAAAATGTACACTTGATCAAGTTTTATAATTAAAATTTATAATTTAAATAATTTTACTTTGATTTTTTCTTAATACACTTTAGAATTTATTCTAAAATTGATTCGATCATTTATATAAATTATTTGCTGTAAAACTAAATATTATTATGTTATCCATTTAATTTTAATTTTAGACTGCGTTTAGTAACCTTATTTTTTATAAATTTTTTTTAATCATATTCTTCAGCTTTAATGAAAATACGAATCATTTTGAAATTTTGATAATTATTTCATTAAATAAAAATAAGTTTCCAATAAAAATTATTGGTTTAAAAATCTACAAAAATATTTAGAGCTAATATTATAGATGTAATATTATTAAATAAATTCTGCTTGCTTCAACACTTTTATAATACTTTGTTCTATTATAAAATCTTATAATATATTTGTTATGTACCAGTATTAGATCAAATAAAAAGAAATGTAATGTTAACAGTTAGTTTAATAATAAATGAAATAATTTGAACATTTTTTCCCCAATAAGTGATAAAATAGTATCAATATTTTAAAATATCAATCTTTTAATAATATAAACCAAATGATTTCTTATACCTCGACTTTTATTTGATAGCTTTATTCTATCCTTAGTTTTTTGCGCCTCTGACGATGTATTTTTTTTTTTGGTCGCGCAAGTTGAACACAATTTTATTTTTGTTCCATCCTTTAAATTCACCCAAACATCGGTTTTGGGAACTTTAGTTTTATTTTTAATTTTGGAATCTGTTGTATTTTGTGCCTTTTTAACTTTTCTTTTCAATAATCTTCTTAAACGCGTAACACCTAATGGTGAATTTTCTTTATCAGATAAGCAACCTGCAGAAATTCTTCTTATTCGAGATTGTAAACCTGGTCCAGCCACTTTACTCATATTTAAATATTTTCAATTTATTCTGCAGATGATGCTTTAAAATTCCTTCATTAATAAAAATATTTTAAACGTAACCAAATTTTAAATAGATGTCCAGCACTTATTGCGATAAAGCTTCGACGAAAACTGAAGACAAAATGTCTTTCTCTTATTATTTACTTATAGCAGAATTTTGAAAGTTATATTCGACACATTTCTTATTAAGATGGTAGTAAAACTCTTAAGTTTCTAAGAAAATATTTATATTTACATTTATTATTTACTTAAAATGAAATTTCAAACTTAAATAGAAGGATTGATAAAATCCTTTCTGACAGCAGGATCTAAGACCTAGTTTTGTAAAATTACTTTTGCGAAATGTATTTTAAATCAAATATTTTATGTATCATGTAATTTTATTTATTATAAATAATGATAAACCGATTGATTAATTTGATAATATTAATTTATAAATAGTTGATTCCTAGTTAGAATTACTTTTTGGTTTAAAGTCTTTAATACTACAATAACAGTTATTATGTAATGAAAAATAAATTATGTCCATAGATTATCACTGTTTATATTTGTACATTTATTGTATCATTTAGATTATATAATTTAACGATGCAAAGAAGAAATTGATTTTCATACTTTTAGTTAAATCTTTTTCTATTATAAAAATATTTTCATTAAATACATTGAAACATAATCACAATAACATGATAACAATAATATATTTAAGGATAAAACAATAACAATGAATATTAAATGTATATAATAAATCAAATGTCTACTGTTATCATATGGTTAATTATGATCAATTGAAACGAATGTTTTATATTTCTTTTCATTATTATATTTGTAATTTATTGTTATAAACATCTATATTGTTCTCATCGTTCCATTAAAATAATATATTCTTTTGTAGAAAATTGATAAAAAAACTAACAAATACATTTTTTTAAATAATTTCTTTTAATTGAATTGGAATTAAAAAATATATATTGTTAGTAAATAACTAAATAATACATTGAAAAATTTAAATAACTTATTATTAGATACATACGTTAATAATATAATTCTTAAAACAATAAATAAACAAAAGATAGATTATAAATAATTGTTTTTAAACTGAGAGAGAGAGACTTTTAGCAAATGGATGAGAACGAATATAAGGAATTTGATTATGAAATTTTCATTACATAAATATATGTGTGTGGGCGCGCGCGCGAGAGCGTGTGTGCGTGCATATGTTCGTGTAGTGTGTACGTGTGTGAAAGTTCGTGACTGTGTCTGTGCAGAGGCATATATTTCAAGATATGTGTAGTAAGTAAGAAATTTGTACGAATACCTTAAATACCTTTTATTTTCGAAAGTATTTAAAAATTGATATTGCTATTCTATTTTCATAATTATAAAAATATGGTTTCGTTAATTACTTAGATAACATAAGGATCATTTTATAATTTTTGTACCGATAAGCATTACGAAGATATGAATATAATGAATATGAAAATCATAAAATTTTAATAAACTACACGGAAAAATCGACATATTTTTATAGTAAAATAGTACTTTGAATATTACTTAAAATAAAATTGTTAAAAAATTATAGTTTCTTATAGTTTTATAGGCTTAAATTAATTCCAGTTATTCCATGAATCAGAATATGTTTTGCTTCAAAAATACACTTATTCTTATCATTATACACTTCTCTCTGAACAATACTTTGTTAACAAAATGTGTGAATCTTTATGTTCATTAAATTCCGTTGTGGAAATTGAATTTGCACATTTAAATATTTTAAATTATATGAAATCTATTGAATATCTGTAGATTTTCGAAGGCATATTCAATTTCAAAAGATGAATTTTTTTAAAATACTACAAAGCATGAGATATTGGTCAATATAGAATATTATTAATATATTAATGGTATTTATAATGTAATATTGAATTTTTTCTATAAATTTATAATATTAAATCTTCTTTATAAAATATGTATTTAAGCATAATAAATTTTGTTGTACGTACTTGTATTAATCTTCAAGAAAATTATTTTTACCTTACATGTTCCTGAAACATAAATATATACCAGAAAACTACGACCAAAGAATAATATTTTAGAGTAAGTAACAAAAAACATTATAAATTATCTTTTTTGTAGCTTCATACATTTTGTAAATCGCACATTGAGGATCATAAAGATTATTTTTCAAACCGTAGAGTGACAGAACTATTTGACACATACGATTTTACACTTAAAGGATAGGATGACATCTTTCTTCGACCTTGACGACCAAGCAGGTTCAAAGAACTCACTGAAACACCTACAGCATGAGTTAATCTGTACGTTTAGTGCAAGGTTTATCTTAAAAAATATACGAGAAAATGAATTTTTATAGAGTGCAGCCAAAACAGTCAGAATGATATCACCTAAAATGAGAAATAAAACATTTGTTTGAATGGATAGGCATTTTGGAACATAAAACTTTATGACAATATGAAAATAATAGTAAGAGAACAATATAAATGATGATTCTTTTATTTAAAAACAAAAAAAAATATTTAATCATCTTATATATTTTGTTATATAATTGTTATATATTTTTTTCAAAAACTTTAACTGTTATTAACAAAATAATTTTGAATAATATGTACTCTGTATAGATTCTTTGAATACATTAATACGATCATCGTATAAATCAATAAAAAATAATTGCATTAAAATTATTTTGATATACTTCAACGTTTTTATTAGGAGTTATTTTTCATAAATGTTTATTAATAAAATAATTATAGAAAATTATTAACATAATTTAATACATTAAATAATAATTTCATCTATATCAAAAATATTATTCTCAAATTTTTATGTTATTGAATTTCTATTCTCTTTACTTAAAATATTTTACGCAAATATTTATCAGATCAAATATTTAAAAAAGAATTATTATGACACATTTTTTTAAATCAAACATACTTTTCTATAAAAACTTGTATTATATAAAATTTATGAAATAGAAGTATTTCAATATTTTGAGGAATTAATTTGATTTTTGTACTCAAAACTTCAATATATTAATTACAAATTAAAAATTACTTAATTATATTACAAAATTGATACGTTATTTAGAATATCAATATTTTATTTCTACATCAAAAGCTCACGGAATATGTTCACTCATATTATAATAGTATCATAAAAATTTAAAAATAAAAAATCTAATGCACGAACTTAACAGTAATGTTGAAAGTCTAATTATTAATATTAATGTATTTTCAATTTTATATTTTATATTTATTTCCTATTTTTATTTACTGTCCTAAGACATTTTTCATGAAATTTCTCTGAGCCGTTAAAACACTTTAGAAAGCAATTGAAAATAATGTATTTATTTTTTCTGGTATAATAGAAATTTACAATTTTTTACAAATACACTCTATTATATATTTACTCTATTTATTTTTTACTTTGATGAAATTTCAACACAAATCAATTATAAAAAAAATATAATAAAAAGTATATTATAACGTATATATTGATATTTTATAAGTTTTACTAAGTATTCAGTGAATTGAGTATTCAGTGAGATTTTGAAAACTTAATACGTAATCGTAGTAATAAAAAATTGAATTGAGAAAAGCAAATGCAAAAAGAAAATAAATATAAAATCTAAGCCATTCGTAGAATCCAATCTATCTCTAATATTTTTTATCAATAATTATAATTAGCAAAGATCGAATATATTACGGACCATATTACTATATTTTCAGATTTGCTTTACCTTAGTTTTAGATAGTCTGTAATTGCAAATTCACAAACATAAACATAAATAATGGTCTTATTAAAAAAATATTGTCTGGATAGTTCTTTTAATACCTTATATATTGATCTTATACAATCATTACTCTAAAAAAATTTAACTTTATTTTTCATATAATTAATAAGCAAAATATTAATTATAATAGTAATGGAGCAGTAATAAATTTATTATAACAATAAATAACAATAATTACGAAATAATAATTTTTTTAATTGAGAATACGCAAGAATATGTTGAATATGTTTTTAGCAATAAAATATTTGATTTTGTCAGCTAGAAAACGAAGTCTTTACGATTTATATCTTTAAACGATATCTTTTAAAGATTTATAAGTACGTTTATCTTTATTAAAAATACGATATAATTTATGTAACAATTTTTTTATAATGTAGTGTTTCATTTGTATAAAAAACCATTAAATAAACTTTATCTTTTGAGATATCTTTGAAATATTGGAAATATTAAATGATTAATACATAAGTTTTGGCTAGTGAGAAATGAATTTTAACAAATTTTCCGTAACTACATCTAGCAATTTTTGTAAATATCAATCAAATTTGTCAAATACGCTATCCTTTATGAGTTAAGAATTATATGCACATGAAAATTTGAAATAGTAACAAATATTACTAATAGTTGTCGAGTATTTATCTTGAATGATTAAATAACCGTTAGATACTGAAATCAGCAAAAAAAAAAAAAAGCATGAATGGAATATAATTGTCAATTTCGTTCCGTCTTCAACTTCGCTTCGAACGTATTCCCAACTGATATCCATGGATATGAATCTACATATAAGTTCATTGATATTTATACGTATATCGTGAGGAGGAGGAGGAGGAGGAGGAGGACTCGTTCCCGAAAAGAAAATACTAAGACATGTGTTGTAAGACCGGACTATGGCTCGGTGAGAGTGCTTGCATATATAACAGTGTCATTGTGGCCAACCATGAATAGTTGCACGCGACAGCACGTCGAGTGAACATGATCAAGGTAAGCGGCTTAAAAAGGATTTTTAATTTCGCTTCATTTTCTTTTAACTACTATCGAGATATTTTTTATTAATTTTGACTTTTGCAAGAAAAAAAAATCCAATAATTATGTGTAGTTGAGTTGTGGAAAACTACTTAAAAAAGGGCTTGTATATAGTATATAATTTTTCGAACTGTGAGTGAAATTCATAAGTGTACATGCATTAAAAAATGATATATGAATGTTGACTGACGAAAAGTTTTTGCAAATATTCATTTATAGAATTTCATTTGAAAAGTGTTTATTTGACAAAACCGAGCGAGTGTCATGGTAAAATTTTTTTTCCTTTTTTTCCCTTATATTAAATACGTTATAAATGAAATTATGAATTGGGCATTCGTTCATTATCAAAATAAAACTTGTCCATTATTTTTATAGATAATAATTATACATTCGTTACAATTTCGTTTGATATCGACACAAATGCCTTCATTCTTTTAACTCGAAGAAAATCACTTGGTACTATTATTATTTTAAACATACTTTAATCCAATGATAATTGAAATAATAGATAAGTTAGCAAACATTTAATTAATAAATAAATAAAAAGCAAAAACATTTAATATAATAACAACTATTTAATATATAAAATTACAATATCTTCAATTATTATTATTATATTATTATTATATTCATAATATGTCTTATGTTTATTAAGTAAATCATTCGCTGTATAATTCATGTCGAATATTTTACTGTTATACGTAAGAAATAAGTATTTCCTGAAAGGCAAATGAAAAAGGAAAATGTATGTTTTACAAAATTCCCAAATAACTGTTAAGTAATGTAGAAAAAATATTTAATATAATTATAAAAACAATTTTATTACGTATCAATAGAGAAATATTAATTCCTTTATATCCAATAATTTTAGCTAATTATGCATATTTTTATTAAATTTTCATCGATTTTTCTCTTATTTAATTACTTTTAATTAACTATTATTGTTATTGTTAATTAATTATGCATAAATAGCAAATGTGTACTGTATTGTTTAAAGGTCTATATACAAATGTTGTAACGATTATCAACGATAAATAATAATTTTTTAATATTACGAGCCATGAATTAACTGTAAGCTAATCAACTTATAGTTTTCCTTAAATTTTCTTATAAAATATCATTTTTCATACAAAACGCACACAATTACAAATACCATTGCTAATCAAATTGATAAAAAGTGCATAATCAATTTACAGCTAATTTTTCTCTACCTCTACCTCTCCATGTACGGAGCACTCGGTCATCCCGTTCAGACGTTCCAAGTCCTGGATGACATCGACAACGAAGCCGAAATCATTGAGGCGGAAGAGC